ATTTCTTATCCTGTTGCGCCCTCTATAGGACCAGCAACTAGTCAAGGTCATGGTTAAAGCGTCATGGCAGAGCATTTAAGTCGACTAGTCGGTGCAACCCCAACCATATATATATATATATATATATAATTTTTGAATCGTAATAATATTTCACAATATTACTGTTTTTTCCTGAAACAAACAAATAAATACAGCCTTGGTCATCTTAAGAAACGTTCAGTAAAAATGGCACCAACCTTCCAAATGGTATTGTATATTTACAGTTGACTGTGCAGATTGTCATAGTTTTTTTTCACCAAGCTTGTCGCTTTGAATTCTGGGATTGTCTTATCCACAAAGACAACATGTGATGCTGTCTTAGAATTTGGCCAAAACAAGGTACTTTATAATGAAACACACTGTTGCTGCCTAATTTTTTTCATTGAATCTGTACCTATAAAGCTTTTAAATGCTGTCTATGTAAGTAGCTCATAAGGTTTTGGAACAGAAAAGGTGGCATTCATAAGGTGTAAGATAACAGGGCATCTTTTAAAGCAGAGATGAGCGATTTGTCGACTGAAGGTTTGAGCATCTCACCTCAGCATGAACAGAGATAATGCTGACCAAAGCCTCCTTCAAGTAACTCCTCACACCTGAGTCAGAGAGAACGGGAATAAGAAAAGGTAGATCAATGAGTCATGTTCTTGCTTTTTTTAAGGTTCAAGAAAGTTTAAACGGGGGTAAGGAACCATCTGAAGATGAGAGGAAAATCTTATCAGCTTCTCTTCACAAGTGTGACATGGTTTTGCCTAGTTGTCAGAAATTTGATTAAGTCTAAAATGTCCTCCTCCATACTGAGGTCAAGCAAAATAATCCCCTTTAACATACTTCAAATTTTTACATTTTTATGTTTACAGTATGTTTATTTATTTTCTTTGCACTGTTAAAATAATCACTTCTTGTTCCTCTACGCGTGTGACATCCACATTTATAAGTCCCTCTAGTATTTAAATAATAATATAAATATCATATGACTTTTAAGGAGCAATTAAAAGAACCAATCTTATATTATTTTTCCAGTACAAAAATATTTGCTCTGTAAGATTTTATATTCTGAATCGATACCATTTTAATTCTTATTTCAAAGAGGTTATTTCACTACAGTTCAAAAGTTTGGGGTGAGCAAGATTCTTTTACTATTTTGGAGAGGCCTCTTATGCTCAACCTAGGTTCATTTATTTGATACAGAAAAAACATTAATATTGTGAAATATGAATACAATTCAAAGTAACTGTGTTCTATTTTAATATACTTTAAAGTGTAATTTATTCCTTTGATGGAAAAGCTGTATTTTCAGCATCATTACTCCAGTCTTCAGTGTCACATGATCTTTCAGAAATCATTCCAATATGCTGATTTGGGGCTCAAGAAACATTTCTTATAGATATCAATGTTGAAAATGTCAAAATATTTTGTGGAAACCATAATACTTTTTTCCAGGATTCTTTGATAAAATTCTTTGATTCTTTGATAAAATATTTGAAACAAAACTTTTGAACAGTAGCGTACATTCTTGTGTAATAACATTAGCTTGTCTGTTCTGGAGCTAAATATAATGATTTTTCAAACTGACTGGGAGCTAAATCAGAGCAGTGGTGAAGTGTAGTGGGTTGGTTTTACACAGTTCAACAAGTTCTTCTTATAATGTCTCAGAAGCAGGAAAAGTTCTTGCAAGTTCACAAATGATTCACATAACCAATTGCATTTAGTCAAGTATGCACCAACAGACCCAATCCTACTAAATACACACACACAAACACACACACACACACAAACACACTCTCTACCATGACTGAAACTGATATAAAAGCGATGATGGCAGACTGAAACCACAGAATCAAGACTAGCAAAAGTGTTTGTAGTACCATCTCCAGGGTGATGGTGTTTCAAACAGACAAAGTCTTCTAGAAACATCCACAGAGTGTTGTCAACATACAGGTCACATGATTGAGGTGTGTGTTACCTGTAGGTGGCAGGCAGTCCTTCCAATCAAAGTATCCTGCATAGATGCCAGGCTCCAGAGAGCCGACGATAGGATCAGATTTTTTCTCGACGTACGTCTCAAACAGATATTCATCCAGCTGTCTCAGCGCCTCTATGCTGACCTGAAGAACATGAGCATGCATTCAGTTTAATCACAAACCGCTGATCATACAAAAAGTGCATGTGACCTTAAGAAACCATTAACATCACACACGATCAGCGCTCATCACACACTTTGTTGCAGAATGAGTAAAGACCACTCATGCATGTCCATCATTCTGAGGTGGGTTGAACTTTAGGGAAGTCCTCAAAAACCAGAATGGAAAGCACCATCTCAAAAGGGGACAAAATCTCTGGGAACTGTCTGTCCTAACAGATGAGTGTCAATCTTCTCTGAGAAGTAGTTCAAATGTTGTTACTGATTTTTAACTAGACTTTGGCATATTTTGAAGAAAATATAAAAACTTTGTCCATGCAAAACACCTGCAGTTTGTGCATGGTTGCAAGAGTGTTGTTATTTGGTGTTCTGAGTGTTCTGTTGTGTTGCTATGCACAATTTTTTTGCACAAATCAGCTCATCCCTTAGGATATTCTGATTCCTGAATTTTGCTCCTTTTAAAGGTCCACCAGTCCAAACCATTCATAAATAACACAGTTCTTCTTAAACTGATTTAATCTTATGTAAATGCCGCAAAAAAATTTTTGCTAAGTATTTTTGTCTTATTTTCCAGTACAAACATATTTAATACAGTCACCTGACAAGCAAAATTACATAAGAAGACAAGCCTTGTTTTCTGAAAAAATGTATCAAAATTAAGTAACTTTACACTTAAAACATGAAAAAAGTCTGCCAGTAGGGTAAGAAAAATAAACTTTATTCTAATTTAATTAAAGTTTATTTTTCTTACCCCATTTGCAGATTTTCCCCTTGATTTTGATACATTTTTCAGAAAAACAAGATGTAATATCTTAAGTAATCTTGTATCTAAATGTATTAAGTAAATGTACAAATGTATGACGTAAATGTATGTTGATTTAAGAATGTTTACATATTTGCACTGGACAACAAGACAAAATACTGGGGGAAAATTTTTTTTCTTCATAGTTTGGTACAAATATAATGAAATTTAATACTAAATTCTAAAGCTGTGGTTTAAAAATCAGCAATTCAATCAGGGCCGGTTCTCTGAGCTGCTGGTTTCTAGTAGGTGGATCAACCGCCGTGTCCAACTCTATCAGGCAGATCCCTTTCTGCACTCACATTGGTAGCTGCTGCTCTGCTTCACTACATATTTGCATAAAGTTAAGGTCTGCTAACGGTCACTGTCAGTGTAAACCTCATTTCAGAGTAAAGGCTTTGTTCAAATCCTTTATCATAATTAACAATAGTGATGCAGCTCTAAATCACTTTGAAAACGACTTTAATAATCAATGTTTTTTCTTGTCTGTACCAAGATAAATATGTCAGAATCACTTTATGATCTTGTAATAAACCTCTCCTGTAAGTTATCAAGCTCTTATTCGGAGTTAAATCTCTCTGAAAGGTGCAATGCAGAGTGTGCTCTCATTGCACTTCAATGATCTACACAAACCCTTTGAGCCCATCCCAATGATTCACTACGATCTGCATCAAAACCATCTGCATTTACTGGAAAGGTCAACCATAACCTTTCGTGAGGGCTTCACCCTCTCCTCTGCACAGCGCAAAAGCCACTTAGGGTGAGTGTGTTGCAATGCCATTATGAAAAACCCTTGAGCTTCTCCTCAATCTAAGTGAGTCATTCTCACTTCAGTGAAACAAAGATACATAAATTGGAAACACATGTGTTATCACTTAGAAAAAAGAAAATGCCAACTGTGGACTGGAGTAAAAGGGAAGTGTGCATGTGTTTGTGTACCCTGACGATCTTCTCTGCAGTGGTGAAGCCGTTCTTCTCCAGGTGCTCAGCCAAATTGAGAAACGTGCGTCTCTCCAGATACTGACAGTTACTCAGGATGATGAGGAGACGTTGCTCCTACATGGGCCAGAAAAAACACACCCAGCAACTGTTACAATGAACATATATATAGAGATTTTTGCATTAAGTTGTATTAGAATGATTTCTGAAGGATCATGTGACACTTAAGACTGGAGCTTTGCCATCACAGGAATAAATAACATTTTTGAAAAATATTGGAAAAATATAAAACAAGTTATTTTAAATTGCAATAACATTTCATAATATGACCGTTTTTACTGTATTTATGATCCAATAAATGCAGCCTCGGTGAGCATGAGACATTTAAAAAATCCTACTAACCCCTTACTTGTACATATATATATATATATATACACACACACAAACAAGAAATAGTCTGAGAGTGATTGAATCAATACTATTATAGATATGATTGGGTATGTTTGTGACTTTACTTAACCATAAACCAGTCTGTGAAGGATAGTGAGAGTAAAATAGAGAAAAAGAGCGAGATAGAGGGGAAACCTGCAGCTCTTCCACTGCAGACTAGGGGAAACCCCATGTAAGCTGCTGCTGCATTGTGCTCTCTGAAGAGAAAGCTGCTGTTTTTCACAACACATGACTGTTGTGTGTGATGTTTGAATGTTTGCTGTGTTGCAGATGGAAACTGTGACAAAGGCATCCATAACGGAACACAGGATGTTTTCTCAGGAAAAGGTTCTTTAGAACTAATAACACAAACAAAAAATACAGTGGCCCCACAAGGCATTTGAATTTATTTATTTTTTGCACTTTATGATTAAATATTAAACAAAATGGCATTTATTTGAAATATAGTGCAAATATTTTAACCAAAATTTCACATTTCAAATTATAAAGCAACATCATATGTACAGTTCAACATCTGCACAAAAAATATTTGCGTACTTTCTGGTTGCCAAATGTTAGTGGAACGTGTACATGGTTGATGTGATGAAGTACACCTGTGGCTGCTCTGCTAGGACACCTGTGCAATCGTAAGGGAAGTGACTTCTCATGGACACTAAAAATCCCCCTTCATGACCAGTTAGTTGCAAAAATAATTGCTACTAAAAAGAAGTTTGTTCTTAGATGATGTCTGGCATTTTAATGCATATTTATTTTGATATTTTGTAGCTAAAGTAAAGTAATTAGGCCAATTTTAAATCTACCTTAAGCATCAGGAAGGGACCAAATATGCTTTGGGGTTACTGTAAACTCTATTTGTGTGGTTTAAACTTTTACTCAAGCATATGTGCACACACACACACACACATACAGCATTACTGAATAAGCACAAAAGAAGGGATTAAATGAAGGGAGGAAGCACTTCAAGCTTACTTGAGGTCTGTGAATATCTTCAATCAACAAGGTTTCGTTTTGATAATTTTTAAACCCATGGCCTCGTTACCTGGTTTCTCTCTCTCTTTTTCTCAGTCTTTTCATCTATAAGGTTTTCAGCTTTCAGTAATACTATGACTCTAGTTCTGATACTACACATCGACACTGTTATTTGGATTTCAGTCAGTGACTAATCGTTTAAAATAAGGTGAGGAGCTGAACATGTCAGAGCAGCATGAAGGCAGCTGTTATCTATACTCACTTCCTATTCTCCGTACTCAAATATCCTGTCACATACAGTGACATCCACCTCTGCAGTTTACTGTGAATAAAATACCACACAGGGCTACTTGATGTAGTAATCAGTCCACACATACTGCATTTTATTTATGTGGCCATTTTCTGACATTTATATTGACAGTGAAAATGTATTATCAAAAAAAGTGAAGAGGGAGGAATGTAATGAGTACTCAACAAGTCAGATTCAAACCGGTTTCTCCATACGAGCACCACAGCTTGATGTGCTAACTGCTAAGCCAGGTCACAATTCATTTTTATTTTATATGAATATTGAAATTACCAGTATGTATTTTATAGAACAGTATTTTTTAAAATATGCATTATTAGTGTGAATAGAGAGAAAGACAAGATGGACACGAACAAAGTTGGAATTCAGGAGAGGAGGGGAAAAATGGCCTTACTGGTTTTGAACTGAAGTCTTCTTGGATGCTTCCAAAAAGATCAGGCGAGGCCAAGTCCACAGACAAACTGAAAGAGGAAGACCTTGATATTATACTCCCACTGTAAACTTAAACATTCAGCCTAAAGATAGGATATATATATATATATATATATTTAGGGCTGCACGATTAATCAAATGCGATTGTCATGCGCATTTTGATAGTAATGCCGGTTCTGTAATCAGCAGGAAATCATCATCACGTGCTTTCAGATGGAGCAGAATTTACTACACATAGCCGTAGTTCACTAACAAGTAACGCAAAAAAAAAAAAATCGAAGAAATCGTTCGCGATAATGACAGCTGTTTGCATAGCTTCTCAGTGAACTACAGCTCTGTGTAGTAAATGCTGCTCCATCTGAAAGCATGTGAAAATACCACATTTAATAAGATATTTTTACTCCAAACTCACTTCATAACGTCAGTCGAGTGTTTGAAATAAATCCTTCTGTGAGATGTGGCTTCTTACACAGAATAAGGCACGCAACATATTTCATAGTATTTAAGCAGTGATAAAGGCATTGCATTATAAATATACTTTATTTTAATGAAAATTATAATAAGAACTCTTTGAGGAGCTGCAGCATACATACAGCAGGCATCTATTAGAGAAAAAAAGGAGGAGGTTATTAAAAACAAAGTTTATCCGTTTTTACCGAGGCGAATTAAGGTAAGTTGTAAACACCACATCTGCGCTTGTGTGTGCATCTGTCGGCGCCGGCATTTTTCAAATGAACAACGGTTGTTCACTGCGACGCAAAGAATTGTGGGTTATCTGTAGCAGTGAAGGATACACCTCATGCATCCTCCGAAATCCTGTGAAAGAAGGTCGCACTGGAAGGTCGCATTCGGAGTGTCCTACTTGCTTTTCTGAAATGAGACAGCCTCGATGACGTATGCAGCCTTCGAATGCAACCTCCGGAGGACGCAGCCTTCTAAATGAGACACATTCAAAGCAGTTGAATCTTCTGTTTATTCAGCTGCAGTGATAGGCCTTTTCTGGGTTTCTTCTGTGAGGCGTATTTGGAGTTTCAACGCGAGAGCACCCTCTCGCCTTTGGATGGAGATTTACTGCTGATCATAGAACCGTGCTTCACTGAAAGATACGCATGACAATCGCAGCTTCTGTCGAATCGCGATCTCGATTCCATTTCGATTTATCGTGCAGCCCTAAATTACGGTCATATCCTTATGTATATATGTCACAAGTTCACACCATTTCCATTTTGCACAAAGGTCCGTCCTGACAGTCTGTTCAGTTTGAATCTTTACTGAATGAGCGGCGGCATATATATATATATATATATATATATATATATATATATATATATATAAAAATAACATGACACATTTTTATCTGGATCCGAATATTTCCAAAAAAACAAAAATTTAAATTTAGTTCATACAGATTTACTATCATCTTGCGCCAGCGCAAACCTAATTTGGCTTTAAATAACTACTGTCAGGATTTACTAAAGACACGCAGTGGGAAATTAGCGTTGAAAAAGCGTGGACAGAGTAATTTTTGTGACTCACCTTATTGAATATGCATTTGTAGGAGTTTCCCTTTCGAACAGTAAATTTATGGGAGTAAAGTATTTAAATGAATCATGCAATGAGATTTACTAAGATTTGCGCTCGTCAATAACTGCGGCATTATTTAACGCCCAAAAAAAGCATGTCATATAGCAGGCGGTAATTTGCGCTGCTCTTGGTAGATTGCGCTGGTCATTATGGAAATGAGATGTTGCGTCAGTGTTCTTTAATGTGTACCTTAGTAAATTCAGTAAATCACCCGCAAAATGTTCCCCTCCCATCTGCGCTTTTATGGAATTGCGCTCTAACGATAATTTGCCGTTTAGTAACTCTGGCACAATGACTTTAAAAAAATATTTAAAAAAAAACAACAACTATTTTTTCAATGCCTGAATATATAATAAGACAGTTGTCTTCATAAGTTTACATATCCCTTGCAGAATAAGGAAAATGTTAATTATTTTAACCAAAAAAAAGGGATCATGAAAATGGCATGTTATTTTTTATGTAATACTGTCCTGAATAAGCTATTTCACATAACAGATGTTTACATATATTTTGTGATAGAACAACTATCTAAACAATCTACTAAACAGTCCTGGATCATCCAAGAAATGACACACAGTACTAAGATTAATTTTTAAGGTCATTTTTATAAATTCAGTTATTAAACTATTTTTTCAATGCCTGAATAATATATATAATAGACAGTTGTCTTCATAAGTTTACATATCCCTTGCAGAATAAGGAAAATGTTAATTATTTTAACCAAAAAAAAGGGATCATGAAAATTGCATGTTATTTTTTATGTAATACTGTCCTGAATAAGCTATTTCACATAACAGATGTTTACATATATTTTGTGATAGAACAACTATCTAAACAATCTACTAAACAGTCCTGGATCATCCAAGAAATGACACACAGTACTAAGATTAATTTTTAAGGTCATTTTTATAAATTCAGTTATTATTTTGTCTTGTGGAGTATATGTAAACATCTGTTATGTGAAATAGCTTATTCAGGACAGTACGACAGAGCTTCATGACTTAATCTAAGAGAGAAAATCAAATCAGCTTTATTAGAAAATAAAGGAAAGGATGAATATAAATCCTTACTACTAAGGATTGACCAAAATTTCTGCCACTCAAAGTGAAAAAAAAAACAGTACTTTAACATTTAATAACAGAATCAATAACAAAAAACAGCAGCCCGCATTTGCAATGATCCCGGTTTAGCTGGATCTAAATGTAAATGATCAAGATGACTGAATTGGAAAAAAAAACAAGTTGTTTTACAATTCAAGTTTATATGAAACAGATGAACGCAGCAGCACAACAAACTTGCTTAAAGTTTACCCAAAATTGGCTTTGTTTTGTGCAAATAGAAATATATATTTTTTAAATGTTGGTAATCAAACACTTTAGGCCACCATTGACATTCACAGTATGCACAAAAAAAAACAACACAGAGACTTCTCAAAATACTTTCTTTTGTGTTCCATAGAAGAAAGCAAGCCGTGCAGGTTTGGAACGACATGATGGTAAGTAAATGATGACAGAATTTTCATTTCTGGGTGAACTATCCCTTTAAGTCTACAGAAGAGTATGCAATTAGCAGACTAGTTTTTGGCCATGAATTTTCATTTTGACCGATTACTAATTGCTACTATATATATATATACATAATTTGAAAAACATATGTCTGCCAAATCAAAGTTAGCATGGCATAATGAGCATGTAGGAAGTCAACTAGGTGTCATATAACAAGAAAACCAAGAAACAAAATATATATATATTTTTTAATTTTAATATTTTTACAGAATTTTACACCACCCGAGATTTGAAAATGAAATCAAAATTACTGTTGAAATGGTATAAACTTAATCTATAATGAACTTTATATAAAATGAATCTCACTGAGAGGTGTCGATGTCTCCATCAGTCTTGGTGCTGAGCTGTTCGAGGCACTTAATAAAGACCTAAACCAAGCAGAGACATACAAATTATTTTTATACGGCATGATTATATTTACAAATCCCAACATACACAAAAAACAGCACACAGTACCTTCATGATAGAAACACACTGTTCACAAGCTTTGTCCTGAACCACATCCAGATTAAAGATCTGAGGACAAAAAAAAACAACAAAAAAAAACACAAATATTACTGATTACTCTCCATATAATCTGCAGTGGAAGGGCAGAGGATGAGTGTTGTGTGAATATTTGTACATTGATCTCTCCGGGTTTACATTCCATCGGCTCTTTTAGAGACTGCAGCATCTGAACCATACACTGCTCAAACTGGGCCGGCTGAAACAGACACACCATTTATCCTTTGGTTTTTGATTTTCACGTTTTTAGAATGAAATAAACTAGATAAAATATTAAAAAAGTATAAAACATGTACCAGTGATGTGATTCCTTCGTTGTCCACAACCCAGTCTTCTTTTTCTGCAAGTCTCTTTACGTCTAAAAAACAACAACACAAAGTTTAATATTAAATAATCAATCCCATTAAATCAAAACATTTAAAATCTTCTCACATTCTCTCAACATCAGTATTAAGGAAACTATTTTAACTCTGAAAGCTAGTCTTTTGAAAAAGTAGTTGACTATTAGTTACAACATTAGTTACAAATTTACAGCAAAATACAACTATTAAACATCCTAATTTATATTAAATTAAAAAAAAAAGTCAAAATCCTAGTGATAGACAGCAGAATTCACAGCAGTATTTTGCTAAAAAAAGAAGATGCAGGGATTTCTGCAATTTTGTGAGGGTTTGAAAATATTCGAACAATATTTTGTTTGGCTACTAAAAATGTAGTTTATACTGCTCCAGATGTTGACTAGCTAGTAGTGTTCGCCAATTTATCTACGGTTAATTCTGTGAATAAAAGTATAGTTCACTAGAGCAGTTTTGATGCAACCCTAAAATAACTAATGAGCTGTTTATACTAAACTTGAATGAAAATAGATTTAGTTGCGAGCTCTAGAGCTCCCTCTGTTGTTTTCATCTGGAGCAATCAACATTAGTGCCAGACTGATATTTCAGCCAGTCCATCTTGAGATGATCAGTGTTGACCAATAACCTTATCTGCAAGTAATTTTAATCAAATATTCTGTAGAACAGCTCAGAAATCTCATTTGCCATTGTTTGCCTGAAATGAAACCAAGACATTCACAAAAGCTCAGTGAATAGTTTTACCCTCTTCAGTGTGCTGTAGTGTGGTCAGCAGGCAGTGCACACGCAGGTCCTGCAGTAAATCCTGAATCACCTGCAGCAGGTCATTAGGAATCTCTAAAGCTGACAGAGCTTCATGACTTAATCTAAGAGAGAAAATCAAATCAGCTTTATTAGAAAATAAAGGAAAGGATGAATATAAATCCTTACTACTAAGGATTGACCAAAATTTCTGCCACTCAAAGTGAAAAAAAAAACAGTACTTTAACATTTAATAACAGAATCAATAACAAAAAACAGCAGCCCGCATTTGCAATGATCCCGGTTTAGCTGGATCTAAATGTAAATGATCAAGATGACTGAATTGGAAAAAAAAACAAGTTGTTTTACAATTCAAGTTTATATGAAACAGATGAACGCAGCAGCACAACAAACTTGCTTAAAGTTTACCCAAAATTGGCTTTGTTTTGTGCAAATAGAAATATATATTTTTTAAATGTTGGTAATCAAACACTTTAGGCCACCATTGACATTCACAGTATGCACAAAAAAACAAGATGTTACTGTAGTTCTAAAATAAATATGAATATGCATTAATTCATCTCACTCACAAAAGAAAAAACACACAGATTCAGTATTCCTCCAAATGAATAAAAATAATGCAACTCAGAATATGACGCGAACCTGCAATAATTAAATGTTAAACAACGCAAATATCCTTTATGTATTTAATCCCATTATGTTAACCAATGTCTTTGCTTCTGACCTTCGATGATACAGTTCAACCATAATAATAAGCAAAAATTACTCTAGACAACATTTGTGTGTGTTGTTTATTGCTGAAGTGTGTTGAAATGTCTTCTTCTGCATTCTACAGTACGAACGTACATTTACTTTCCCTTCAGCCTGAGGCTTATTCATTTCACTTTTGGTGTGAAAAGGCTTTTATATTTGCCAAAAATATAACTTTTTTATTTTAAAAACAAACAAGCAAGCCCTGTCCAGATTTAAAAAGTAACGCAAAAGTAACGTAACGCATTACTTTCCATAAAAAGTAACTAAGTAACGTAATTAGTTACTTTTTTATGGAGTAACGCAATATTGTAATGCATTACTTTAAAAAGTAACTTTCCCCAACACTGCTTATTCCGTGCTACAAGTTATGGTTCATCAAAATGAAAATGAACGGGAAATGTATATTTTTATATTGTCAATCCAGCCCTAGCGCCCACGCAGCTGACATGTTCACCTGTTATGTACATGAAACAGACACTGACACAGTCCAAATGTGGTATGGAAGAAACACAGATTATACACCACAGTTTCAGCCCTCTAAACGGTCTCAGCCGAAACTGAAAATTAATTTTTGGGACAAATATTTTCGGTTTCAGAAGTTTCGGTGCATCATTGGTCTTAAATTCTAGTGGCTCATGCGCACACTCTTAATCACAAGACTACAAGCACAAAACCATTCCAGCTGCTTTACGGACCTTAAAGTCATTCTGTCTTTGCCGGGCGTTCTTCTTTAACTTCTCCACCTGACCAGACTTCTCTCCCGTCTGTCCAAGACAACACAGTCAACATGAGTCAATGTGTATGTAATCAAAACATAATTATACTAGCCCTGGTTTCTAACACTCCTTATATATACTCCAGTATATTTGTCTGTGTATCTACCTCACTGAAAAGGCTGCCGTTGACGTAAGAGATCCAGAGTTTCCAGAAGTTGGGCAGCTGGCTGATAACCACGTCTGAGAGCTTTTCCACAAACCGCACCTGCTGAGGGCTCTTATAGTGCCACGCTGAGAAAATATGTATGATATAATATTATGAAGACAGCTGTATTCTGCTTCTGAAATGAAACGGCTGACAATGAGTTTTCGATGAGTTTCACAACTCTTCCTAACTAGGCACAGTTTCAAACATCATATCATGTTTGACTTAACTGAAAGTGAAATTCAGCACAAAAGCAACAAAATCACAGCAAATCAGAACATTTTCCATAATTTTATATCCAGATGTACACTACTGTATAACTGTATATAAAATTGGTAAGATTTTTAAATGTTTTTAAAAGAAGTATCTTATGCTCAACAGGCTAAAAACAGTAAAAACTATTATATTGTAAAATTTTAATACAATAACAGTATTGTATTTTAATATAGTTAAAAATGTACTTTATGCGTTTGATGGCAAAGCTGAATTTTTCAGTAGCACATGATCCTTCAGAAACATTAAATCATTTAAACAATAGTGTATCGTATGCATCATTCTGTTTTTGTACTCACAGTCATCTTTAGGTGTCTGGAAGCTGCCTCCTCTCTTCACCGGAGCTGAGAGGCTGATCCTGTTCAGAGCTGAGGACCGATCCACCTCTAAACCGACACCACACACTGACACAGAGAGACACAATGAATGTTCATCTACATATGGCAGCATTTAATAATGAATCACGTTTATAAAAGTGAAGGGTTTCGTTTAACCCGTCACATGGCTGATATATCAGTCAGTTAAGAGTGCCAATTCGGGTTCGAATTAAAAGAAACATTTCTGGTCTGATGTTGATGAAGGCAAATTTGAGCCTTGCTTATGAGGAAACACTGGTCTAGATGATGCTACACTATTATTTTTTCTTTCTTTCTTTCTTTCACTGTGATTTGAGTGCAAATCATGAGGCGAACTGCAAATTTACTTCCAAATACTTATCATAGGACAATCGCTCTGTGGTAAGGTTCAAATCTGCAACCTTTTGGTTACCAGCAAAGACAAACTGGTAAGTATGGTGCAGTAGCTCTTTTCTGACAGTAGATGGCAATAAAGGTCTTTCTGGGGCTCTTCCTGAGTCTTGATTAAATTGTTGATATAGTCTGAAACACTCAATATGTCCAGATAGTGTACACATGTCATGTTTCTCTCTCACAGATAAAGATGTATACCATTCAGCCACTTGGACAATTACTCGCTTTCTTTTGATAAAAAATGAGTGCTGGTGTTGATCCAGGTGTCCAATCATCTCCTGTGTTTATCTATGCTCCTCTCTCTTCTTGTATTCCCCGATGTCTGTCTCTCTCGACAGCAAACCCCCCCTCAGCTCTGCCACACTATAGAGCTCTGTGGACTTCCTGTTCTCTATAGGGTCATGACCAGACCACACACGGGCTGCTCTCTATCTAAACACACACACACACACACAGGGAAGAACACACACACTGCTTTCACTCTTCAGAGATGTAGAGGAACCATCAATTTATTTCAGACTAGCTGCGTGTGTGCGTACCTTTCTGCTCTGTGATAAAATCTTCTTTACAGTTTTGCATCAGCTGCAGGATCCACTTGTGTTGAGCGACTATACATTTCCATGCCGGGTCACCTGGAGCATGTAGATCTGACAGATATCTGGAGTAAAAGAGACAAAATCATTAGATCAATTGTGTCCTTTTCAGGACCCCCTTAAACCCCTCACACAACGACAAGTCGTGTAAGTTAGGGAATGTAATTACTTAAAATAAATTATTAAGTATAAAATATTTACACTACCGTTCAAAGGCTTAGGGTCAGTAGGAATTAGAATACTTTTATTATTTTTATAGAAATTAATACTTTTATTCAGGAAGGATCAAAAAGTGACAGGAAAGACTATTTCATTTTCTATTTCAAATACGCTTTTCTTGTAAACTTTCTATTCATCAAACAATCTTTTGAAAAAAAAGTTTCACGCTTTCCACAAAAATATTGTAAATGTTTTCAACAGTGATAATAATAAGAAATGCTTCTTAAGAACCAAATCAGCGTATTAGAATGATTTCTGCAGGATCATGTGACACTGAAGACCGGGGTAATGATGCTGATAATTTAGCTTTGTATCACAGGAATAAATTACATTTAAAAACATATTAAAAAACAACAACAACAACAACAACAACAACAACTAAATTTGTATAATATTTCTCAATATTACTGTTTTTACCTTATAAATGTTTTGATCAAATAAATGCAGCCAAGGTAAGCACTTCTTTTGAAAACATTTGTTATAATAAAATTAGTGCTAGCATCCAAAATAAAAGTGTTTGTTTACATAATATATGTATGTGTGCTGTGTATATTTATTATGTATTATTCAGAAAAATATGTTATGTTGATATATTAATTATATTTATTTATAATATAAATTATATGAATATAAATACAGACATGTAAATATTCTCAATATATATACTGTATGTGTGTGTATTTATATATACTTAATAAATATATACACATATATTATGCAAACAAAAACTTTTATTTTGTATGCGATTAATCGTTTGACAGCACTAAATAAAATCAATATTTATAATTAAAATGAACATTTTTGAGTTTACTTTTTCCACACAGTATGGGTCTTTTTACTTTGATTTTTTTTTTTCATATTTGAGGGTCCCTGGCATCAAAAAGCATAAAAATCCCTGTCACAGGTGATGAATAAAGTGAGTCTGCACAAAATGATGTTTCACTGTTATTTCAATTCTCTTAGAAATGCAATTGCAGTTATGTTTTGCAAGTTGCTTGTCACACACCTGATATAGCGTTTCTGATCATGTAGAGTGGATGGTGTCTCCAGAAGTTTATCCAAAAGCAGTTTCCTCAGAGCTTCTATACGCGTCTCCACCTCCGAATATACTACAAACACATATGCAGACAATCTTTCTTAACATTTACACAGCACTCCAGCTAATGTGAATGTATATAAGAGGATGCGTGTCACGTTAACATATGTTATCAGCCATTATTATTAATGAAGATCAGATCACCTTTCTTAAAGACTGGGACCTCTGTGTTCCCAAACAGAGATTTGGCTTTCTCATAATCATTGATAACAACGTCATAATCGCCCTGGAAAGAAAACATACACACATACACAGTCAGTTTAACATTCAGAGATAATTTTTATATATCATAGGGTGTATATACTACCGTTCAAAAGTTTGGTGATGGTAAGATTTTGCAATGTTTTTAAAAGAAGTCACTTCTGCTGCAGTTTTCTGATCAAAAATACTTTATAATACTTGTGAAATATGTGACCCTGGACCACAAAACTGGACCAATTTTTTAAAATTGAGATTTATACATAATCTGAAAGATTTTCCATTGATGTATGGTTTGTTAGGATAGGACCATATTTGGCCGAGATACAACTATTTGAAAATCTGGAATCTGAGGGTGCAAAAAAATCTAAATATTTAAAAAAATCGCCTTTAAAGTTGTCCAAATGAAGTTCTTAGCAATGCACATTACTAATCAAAAATTAAGTTTTTATATATTTATGGTAGGAAATGTACAAAATATCTTCATGGAACATGATTTTTACTTAATATCCCAATGATTTTTGGCATAAAAGAAAAATTGTATAATGATAATGTTGAACCATACAATGTATTTTTGGCTATTGCTACAAATATACCTGTGCTACTTATGACTGGTTTTGTGCTCTAGGGTCACATATTGTGATAATACTATTACAATTTTAAATAACTGTTTTGTATTTTAATATATTTTAAAATGTAATTTATTATTATATTCAGCAGCCATTACTCCAGTCGTCAAGAGTCAAATTCTTCAGAAATCATTCTAATATGCTGAATTTGGTATTCAAGAAACAAACCTTTTTGATTATTATTAATATTGAAAACAGTTGTGATGCTTAATATTTTTGTGGAAACTGTGATTCATAAATTGTGATTCAAAGTTTCAAAGGAACAGCATTTATTAAAAACATTTTTTTGTTGCAACAATGTAAAAGTCTTTACTGTCACTTTTGATCAATTTAATGTGTCCTTACTTAAAAAATATATGAATTAAATAAATATCCCTAATATCCATGTACCCAAACTGTTGAAAGGTAATGTGTAGGAGAAAGCATTAGAGAAAAAAAGGTGCGTGTATATGCATGGAGGATGCCACCTTCTGGATGTTGCGTTCTATGTTGAGTGGCAGGTTAAATAGAAATTTGAATCTCTGGAGGACATTGAGAGCGTTGCGTGTGGAGTCGGCCTTGTCCTTTCTGCCCAACACTTCTTGAAACAGGGTGTCAGCAGTTTCACTTGCTCCTGAGAGGAATGAGCAAATGGAAAGAGATGAGAAAAGGGTGTAGAAGGACAACAGCTGATAAAAAGTGGTTTAATCATTCTCGCCCGGTTTGAAATAAATTCTAGATCTCTTATGCTCCCTCTTCTTGGGTGGTCAGAGCTATTCTGGATTCCCTTGGCCAGATTTAATAAGAACCAGCCCCCTGACCACTCTAAAAGTCTGACCAGCCTTTTTCCACCATTGAGTCTGTTTGTGATTGGCTGAGAGTTATGAGCTATGAGGAAGAACATACATCTAAATGTACTTGTAAAGATGGGTGGTGAGGTGGATGAGGAGGAGTTGGGCGATGAAAGCATGTCAGTGTGTGACTGGTTTATTTGTACGGTGCGCAGGAAACGAGCGTGTTTATTGACCTACCGTCACGTGAGAGAATTGACATGGAGATATGACTGGGATATGAGTGGACTCGAACACATGCAGACGCACTCACAGAAACACACCGAGGTCTGTGTAAAATGTGTGGCTTTGATGGTCTAAAGAGAATGCATATGCAAGTCTGATCCTAAATTTAGCTGCTTTGTGTAATCGTGTTTGATTTTGAGCATGTGTTTGGTTTTACGTCTTACTGTTAAGGACATTCTCTAGTCGCTGGGTCATAGAGCCCTCTACCTTCTCAGTGCCATCCGATTCAAGCTTCTGATGGATAGCTAGACATAAAAAGCGGGAGAGAGAAAAAAAAATTAATGTTTAAGAGCATTTGCACTACCATTCAAAAGGTTTGGGTCAGTTACTTTTTTTTTTTTTTTTTAAAGAAATTAATACCTGCATTCAACAAGGACGCAAATAATTAATCAGTGACAGTAAATACATTTATGATGTAACAAAAGATTTATTTTTCAAATAAATGCTGTTCTTTTGAACTTTATATTACACTGTCTTAACAAACACTGGGTATATGCAGTTTTTGAAACCAAATTTTTAAGACATTTTCATACTGTATGTCCATACAAAACAAACCTATACAATCTCAAAATAAATCAAGTAATTCAATTAATTAAACTTGTTTAAACAGGAGGGATGTAACGATTACCGGTTTGACGATAAATCATGATAAAATTCCCCACGGTTATTACCGTTTCATCTTTTAAAACCATATTAGATTACCGCGATTTGAGCAACTTGTGATAAATAAATACTGTCCAGCATAAAGCACAGTTTTAAGCAACAGTCTCACGTGCGCACAGCACGTAGAGTAGTTTCGTTTTGAGAGAAAACAGGGCGAAAAAGCTGGGAGGTTTTAAAAGAGTGCTAAGGGAATTATACAAATGAATATATGAATGAATTAATTATATGATTGTACCTCTTCAACATGCTATTAAACTGTTGTCAGTCAAGTTGTCATTTAAAATCTGAACATCATTGGTAATGTTATTGTTTTAGTGATTATGCAAACAAAAAGTCATTTTATTTGTTGATTTTTAAATATAGAACTTGAAGAAGTGATTTATGTGTCGGTACTTTTTTAACATCTCCAGCACATTTTAACAATACGTGATAATGTTGGTCACTATAATCGTGATAAGAAATTTTCATACCATTACATCCCTAAGCGCTCACATTTATTTAATTTAATCACAGCCTTTTGAAGTTTAATAATCACATTAGACTGTATCATAATTCCTGTTCTTCTGCCCCAAATGTAAGATCTCCTAAATGATAATTACGACTTGTGTTATACCATTTAAGACATTTTGACCTTAAATTTGATCAAACTGAATTTGAGACATTTTAAGGGGATGCAAACAGATCATATGTACAGTATATATATTATAGAGTGCCTTTAAATTGGAAGATAAACCTTTGCACAAAAACCTAAATGAAGTCTATTTTCTCTCCACATCTGGATTTGGGAGACTTCTGTACACAATGACGTAAGGGCTAACCTCCGGCTCCCCCCGGGGTCCGGAATGCTGTGTGGTACGCTTCCTCTGTCTCTGAGGTATGTTTTGACTTCTGCCTGGTAAGTTTTGGGAGTCTTCTCTGGGAATCAGTGCAGCTTCCGTTTCCTGCGCTCTCGTTTCCTCTCAGCACAATGACAACCTTATTACAACCTCATCTAAACATTATGACAACCACGCCTTGTTATCCGTCCCCATGTCTGTCAATCACACGGACACGCAGTGCTAAGAATAGTTCTTCTGTTTGACTCGAGACAAGTGACCCGAGACAAGTCCTACACACATAGACAGATTTCAAAATAGAATCTGCCTGGTGACATTGACCTCTGATGAGAGCAGTCTGAGTAGAGACACATACACCTGTGTACAATGATGCAAGATATGTGGGGGAAAAAAAGGCCCATGCACCTAATTTGGTAAACGGTAGATCTAGCATTCATATTGTCTAAATAGGCTGTACTTTAGGCCTATTTCTTAATACAGGCACCAACCCAGTGAGTTGTCAAACAGGTCTAAATACAGGCAGTGAAACAAGAAATTAAGCTTAAGTTACAGTATTCAGTGAAGGTCAAAAAAATGTATCGCAATCACAAACGTTTCTATCAGAACAAGATTATATTCCTCAGAGGGAATATAAGGGAGATAGCAGAAAAACAGTGTGTAATTTAAACCATAATTGCACTCTGAAATTTTGGTAATCTCAATGTTTTCTGGCAACTAAGCTTTGCAATTCTTTACCAGAAGTCCACAAAATGTGTCCAAAATGTCCAAAAAACTATATTGTATTATGATCAATTGCCATTTTTTTTTCCAGTCTTCAATTCCAATCAACTCAAAAAGGGACTCAAATGAGATCCTATACTTCCCACTGGTCATTACAACATTGTATTTATGGGATGAGTAATTTTAACACAATGATTCCAACATGACCTAAAGGCAACAAAATCCTCATGGACACAATCCAGTCCCACCCTATATTACTTCCCACACACTGTTCTGTTTCCCTCAAAACTGCTTCTGTTTCCTTCAGTCAAATGCAAGAATGCCATTTCATGTCGTCTTTACTTACGGCTGTGTTTATATGTTTTAATGTGCACACACTAAGCACACGTACCTGCAAGAGCATCCTGAGCCTCAAAGAAAGTGCTGAGACCTCCTTTCACATAGGCCAGACTGCCCTCATTCTTCTTACTGGCCTGTTTCTTAAGACTTCCCACAGCCGCACGCAGTTGCTCAAAGCTAGAACAGCAGCAAACATAACACCACATCACACACAAATCTATTTTGGCAGATTCACAAATGGTATATAGACCGACCTGGTTGAAGAATGGTTCTCCATGAGATACCAGGTGGCAGAGAAATTCTCGCTGGTGAAGTCTCCACTCATCCCAGGGAACATGTTCTCCAGATCCTTTAGAGGAACCTTCCCTCTGAAAAACAAAAGACATAGTTAGACACCCACACAGCTGATCTATAAAGACCCATCATGAATACATCACAGATCACAGACCATCTGCTCTACCACACTACAGACCACAGAGAAAACCAGATCGGTCCACATTTAAACAGCACTGCATACACCTACCCACTGGGTCTTTTGATGCGTCACAGAATAGACTGATGAAATACATATGACCCGTATACCGTTGGGTACAGTAAGATTTATTTTTTGAAAGAAATACAAAAATTGGCATATTGGAAAGATTTCTGAATGATCATGTGACACTGAAGACTGGAGTAATCACTGCTGCAAATTATACTGAGACTTGATGAGTATAAGATAATGGTTTTAAAAAACATTACAAAATCTTTTCACCCCAAACTTTTGAACAGTAGTGTATATCATTTGACTGAATATATAGACACAAATAAGTAAATGGTTAGAGGTGCTGCAGAGGTCAGGGAAAGGAAGAGTTTCACTTCCTATCTAAGGAAATGGTGTACCAATGACATCACCCAGGTAGAAGACATACACACAATGGGCTGAACCTCCTTCCTTATAAACACAGCAGTCTACTTCTATAAACACAGGGCAGTGCTTTTTGGGTGAAGTGTGTAAGGAAATGCATTTGTTTTGGTCTATGTGAGTGTGTTTTAAAAAGACAGTCAGAAATGAAGCACATGTGTGTGATTTGAGTACAGCAATGCGTGTGCTTAGTTGTAGGTGTAAATGTATTACTTTGTAAGTTCGTAAGTGGACAACACAAACGCAATTGTGAATGTTTCGTTACTTGTCTATTTCGATGCCCAAAGGGTTGGCCGGCCTCAGCGAGAGAGGAGAGATTCCTTTGTTGCGATCGGTCCTCATGTCATAGTAATTCAACTCATCAACCCAGACCGCAGACTGATCCAGAATGCCTAAACACAAAAAACATAAAATCTTAAAATCCATTGCAGTCTTCAAAGAGCATGTGTGTGCATTTAAGGAGTGTGTAATCAATCAAACCGAAATTGTGATTTTGCCTATAAAAGACATTGAGAGTGTTTACATGCACAATAATATGTTGAGAACGCAAAAAAAGCACATTTACAGAGATCCGAAATTATCAGAATTTTTTTTTTCTTTTCACATCAAAACATAAAGGGACTTCAATTGGTATAAAACAATGTGTGTTTTGATTAAGCAGATCTTGATTAAGCAGAAGGTGTTTAAGTGACCTTACAACTTGTCAGGGTTAAGCATAATTGGTGTAGGATCGAGCATTGTAAACACGCACACAGAGTGTGTATACGTGAGTTTGTGTGTGTGGCTCACCGATCCTCTCAGGTTTGAGCAGTTTGAAGGAGACCGTGGACATCCCTCGACCTCCGCTCTTGGTGGTGACGATGATCTCGCCCTTGTCATCTTTAGCAGGACCCACTCGACACACTATCTTACTAGCAGACATCCATTCTGCTGTCAGCAAACAGTTATGACCACAGATAGACAGACCTGACAGACAAAGACCAAGAGAAAAGGAAATCAAATGGCCAAATTAGCCTCAGCTCAGGTCCTTAATGGCATCTTACTCTGAGTGCTGATCTAATTTGATGTGACCATCCAGGCCCATTAAAAAAAACTAATTATTATATTGTAGATCAGGTCTGTGAACATTGAACTGTACTGTGTTTTTTTCCCCTTTTGTTTGTTTTTGCTGCTTAATTACAAAAAAGATCTGTGTTTAATATAGCTAACAATAAAAAAAATACAGATTTTTGCTTAGCTTTTAGTTTCACCTCTTGTTTTACAGATTCACTGAGTTGCAAACTAAAATATTATGCAGCATCTATTTAAACTATGCCATTTATTTTTCTCCAGATTTCATAGACTGATCATATCTGTAAGAAGACATTCATTTTAACATTTTTTTTTTCACTTTGCTAAATTAGAAGAAAATGTCTGAATTTAAGTGTTCAGATGTTTGGGGTCGATAAGATTTTTAAAATGTTTTGTAAGAAGTCTCAAAATGACTGCATTTATTTAATCAAAAATTTTTGAAATATTATTAAAAAAATGTAAAAAGGTTTTATTATGATTATTATCACTATTACTTATTATTATCAATGTTGAAAACCATTCTGCAGCTTAATATTTTTAGGGAAACCATGATTCTTTTTTTCAGGATGTTTTGATAAACAGAATATTTAAAATAACATAAAATGTTTGCAACATGTCTTTACTGTCACTTACAATTAGGGCTGGACGATATGGCCAAAATTGATATCACGATATATTTCTTAATTTCGGTCGATACGATATAATTCCGATGTGTATTACCTATGAGGTCATTGTGTCCGGTGCCCAGGTTCTCTCCACGAATAGTGACTTTGGTCCACGGCGCGCCCTCATTGGGTGAGATGCCAGTGACCAAAGGAGGCTGGCGTGCACGAGACATCCTTCACACACCTAGGTGAGACACAGGAAAACAGTGTTTTGTTTAGGCTCCGGAGACATTCTCATCACTGCTGAAGGCAACACATTAAAACATTCAGCATGTTCAGTGCATTTAAAGACTGTTAGACATGAACAAATAAATCTACCCATCCAGCTCACACAGAGCGAACGTGTTACTCTTTGGAGATGCAACATTATATACAATATAACTAGTAGCTCAGCAATCAAGGCATTTTTTCCTGTAGCTTTTGCACTGTCACAGATGCTCTCTCTCTTATACAAACACCCACACGGAGCACATGTCAGTCTCAAGGGCGGTTTGCGTGCAAGACCCCATGACTGACTCTGTGTGGTCTGGGAGGGTGTGTTTCTGCATCTGTGTGGTCTCTGGAGGGGGACAGGGTGATGGTTGAGTTCTACAGCAGACCTCAAAGTCCACAGTGCAGACTCAGAAGACGTATTGCCGCGTCTAGCAGTAAAATAAACTGGGTGCCTGACATGTATATTTACTGCAGAAATCTTATGGTGATGCCAATATTTTGGGAAATACTGAAATTGTCTTTATAGATTATATAGGTCAATGGCGCCCTGTTTTGTTTTTGTCTGGATGTCCATTAAATACAATTCATGCATACTATAATTTAAATACACCTCTTTTATGATGAGCATGTTTTAATTCGAAACTCAAAAGTGTCCCAGCAATGTCAGGGTGACAACGATCATTTAAAAAATAAATTAAGAAAATGGGAGAAATATAATCTATTAAGTATCTTGGGATTTTTTTAATCATTATTTTTTATTATTATTTGACAAACCAAAAATCAGTGGGAAAGAAAGAAGGGGTGGCGCAAAACAAATCACAAAACAAAACCACTTCAAAAAATGTATACTGCTCAGTTACAGCAAAATCAAATAGAAATGAATATGGTTAAGTCAAACACACACACACACACTTCTGTGTGGCAACATTTGGGAATGATTGACTGCTTAGATGATTGACATTTAAGAGTCTCTATGGAATAAGCAGCTCGTCTCAGACAAATTACTAACACCGTCCTATCAACACTCAGCCCCCTTCATAAACACAGTGACCCCCCCTCCTACAGCACACACTCTCTCAGCAGGAGAAATTAACACTCCACATGAAATGGCAGGAGCTTGAACAAACTATTTAACACCAGAGCATCATACTGCTGACTGCATATACTTTTTCGACATTTACAAAATTACTACTTAGAGCTTTTATTAGACACAATAGTACACATTTTAAATATTAATCTGAGGAATCAAATCCAATCTGACTTTCTGCGGCCTCAGCGCGCTGTGTTGCGTGTGACGGCACCACAGAACAGGGGATGTTCAACAGTGTAAACACGTCATGAAGCCTCGGCTATTTTCTCAAGAGGGCCACCGCCAAAGATCCATCCAGCTAATGTTAGTAAAATATGATAACTCACTTAAGATCTTCACTGTTTGTTTGTTCAGCTTACCCACTGCTGATGATGGCTCCACATTCCTGATATGAAAGTGGCAGTTACTACACCATGGGTCACAACACAGCAATAAGATTCAAAATGGCCAAAAACAACAGTATGGTACAGAGCAAGAGTGAAACAGGGAAATAATACAGAATGAATAACAGGGAAAGATATTTTTTTCACTTTTATACTCTGATGGCACTGAGTACACACGATGGGGGCAGAAGAATGACATTTCTCTGCATTATTGTTCTGCTTGAATGTGTTCATCAGTGTGTTCCCATGGGTCCTGAGCCAGCACAGGAAATACTGTGAATAGGCTTCCTATTACACACACACAAACATTACTCTCACAGAGCACAGTTACTGTAATTACATTATCTTGAGCTCTTGACGTCTTGATGAACTGCATAGTACAGTGAATTGAATAAGTTGCATTGATACTGCACATAAGAAGATAAGATCATATAGCACTAAAACAGTTTTAAAATCATTTAACAGGGATTTTTGTAGGGCTTCCAGGTCTCTTTCTGGTCAAGCCAACAGGCAATTCAAAAGTTTGGTTATGCATTTGAATAGTTTACTATTTTTCTTTAGTTATTCGTAATCTATATGTATTAGTGAATTGTATTTTATTTGCAGAGGTTATTTATTTGTTCTACATAATTTGACTTAATTTGACTAATAGAATACTACACCAGCAAGAGACATTTGTGGTTTATTGCTATATTGTATATTATTTGTTTCCTATTTTTGACATTGTGTTAACACCCACTAATCACTGAACACCTATGGTAATATTTTTTACACTTTTTTATTATTATTGTATGTTGTGTCAATATTGTTTCCATTAAAATAGATAGCAATTAAGTGAATTAAAGTAAAAATTAAATAAAAGCATGAAGATATTAAAAGTGGCACATATGAACATAATGTATAAAATAATTACATTTCTGGGTAGCAATGAAAAAGTAGAAATAAAATGTTCTATGTAGAACTGAAATATCTTGTCCATTTATCAGTATTAAATGAAATTGTATGTGCCAAACTTGACCAGTTGGGGGCGCAACAAAAGCAGAGATTGCTGAGCAGTTATTCTAAATCATACGCATGCCATGTGTGCGTACTGCGTACAGTCATAAAATCTAGGCTACTGCTTTTCACAAGACGTGAAAAGAATTCTCTTAAAATGCATAAAATATGAGTGATTGGTTTGGTTTCTGGAAGTTTAGCGTAAATAGGGTGTTTGAATTTGGCAGGGCATTCATCTAAACGTATAATGTATAAGTGTGTGCGTGAGTAATGAACTAAGCATTAAAAAAGGAAATAGGGGCTCATTTCCACAAAGTTGATAAAAGGGGTACCTGACAGAGGAAACTACGTGTGTGAGAGAAAAATACATTGGGGTCAGTTTTAACGGGCTTTTGATCCTCTTGGAAAGGGTGGATGAAAGACATCCTGTGCTGCAGAGAAAGAGAAGAGGAGGGGTCACCATTCACCTACTGCTTTAACAACTATCTCCTTTATTTCAACCTCTCTCATGTAACTTCTGTATAAGCTGCACATACTGTACTTTCTGTTAGAATATACAGTATATATAGAAATTATATATAACTATAATATTTTATTGCAATAGTATTATTCACTAAATAATAAAAATTATAATCTAAACAAACTGTTGTTTATAATCTAAACGATACCAGCTATTGTTTACATGGCTTAATATACTATTACTGAAAAAATGGTTACAGTTTAGTATAGGGACCAATACTTACTAGCTGCTTATTATGCCTACTATTACCATATTGGCTGCTTATTAGTACTTGTAAAGCACATATTCTGCATGACCATGTTCTACATCCCTAATCCTACCCAATACCTAAATTTACCTTACTAACTATTAATAAGCAGCAAATTCGGAGTTTAGTGAAACAGAAGTCATATACTGGTTTGTTAATGGGGAGAACTGATCCTTAAAATAAAGTGTGACCAAAATATATATATATATAATTTGAAGTGTTTTTGTAATTGTATAGCTTATGCTAAATATTTGCTTACCTACTACATGGTCTGTTTCTCTCTCTCTCTCTTTTCTCTCTGTAAGACTGAGATTTGATCTCCACCCACTCTGTGTAAATCACTTAGTATTTTAATGCCAATATAAACCTGATTGATGTGTCAACCCACTCATACCTCGCTCACCTTCTGCATTCACTAGAGCAGATACAACATCTGAACTCTGATTCACCTGCAGGCTGTCACATCGCAACATGCAGAACACACACACACACACACACATGATAGCTGAAAAGCCAATTGCTTGACATAAATAAAAGACACTCCACTGTCCACGTTTACAGTACATGCAGAGGATGGAAAAGACATCACTCTGTAGAGCCTCTGTAATATCAAAGAGGCCTGTGGTGCAGGTTATGGGAACACACAGCAGGACATGGAAATGCTTATGACACATTGTTCTCCAACTTTGTGTGTGTGACCTGAGGCAGAACAGATAGGAATGCTTCTGAGATGAGCTGGTGACAGCGGGATAAACGGCTGGATGCAAATCAAGGCAAATGTAAAATATGTGAACTAATGAACAAATCGGAACAAATGTGATAATGTTGAGATTAATTAGTGAAAACTTTTATGCTGAATTTTCTAAACATCCTGCAAACCCTGTTTATCACAATAAAACACTGCTTTCGTATCAAGTAAAATAAAGGGTTAAAATAAGAAGAAAATCCAAAAAGTTATTAATTAATATTTCTCTGTTTGAACAAATGGGCTCTATTGCACCACTTTCAAAATGCATATTAATGTAAGATGGTTAGGGTTTATAAATGTGGTGTATGTTTTTGCTGAACAGGATCTCTGTGGGCGTATAAATGTGTGTGTTTTGAGTTCTTCAGTGGGATGTAATAAAGGACAATGTGGGACTATGTAAATTGAGAATCAATCTTCTCCATTGCTTTAATTACGAAGGTTGGGTTAAACATTTAACCCAACCGCTGGGTCAAAACAACCCAATTGCTGGGTTTGTCCCTATTTTACCCAGCACTGGGTTGTATTTAACCCAGCATTTTTTAGAGTGTATATTTACACAAGCAGAGCTAACCTGTTTACAGTCTGAATTTATGAGCTAGAGGAAGTTTAGCGTAAATAGGGTGTTTGAATTTGGCAGGACATTCATCTAAACGTATAATGTATAAGTGTGTGCGTGAGTAATGAACTAAGCATTAAAAAAGGAAATAGGGGCTCATTTCCACAAAGTTGATAAAAGGGGTACCTGACAGAGGAAACTACGTGTGTGAGAGAAAAATACATTGGGGTCAGTTTTAATGGGCTTTTGATCCTCTTGGAAAGGGTGGATGAAAGACATCCTGTGCTGCAGAGAAAGAGAAGAGGAGGGGTCACCATTCACCTACTGCTTTAACAACTATCTCCTTTATTTCAACCTCTCTCATGTAACTTCTGTATAAGCTGCACTTTCTGTTAGAATATACAGTATATATAGAAATTATATAT